TGGGGGGATGGCGCTCCCCGGCACAGTCCGCTCAGCATCCCGCTGCAGAGGCCGGTGCAGTTCAGGTGCCGGCGGCACTGCCTGCTCTGTGGTGCCGCTTTTACCACGTTCGTCAAGTGGTGAACAAATAACGGAGCAAAGAACTGTCAGGGGCTCTGTGCAAATCTCCTTTTCTCCCTCAAAATGACCTCCCCCGTGCACCCTCCAAGGACCCCAAATGTCCTGCGAGGACCCTCAGGCCCTCCTGGCACCGCAGGGCCCAGCATGCAGCCCGCAGCGCCGAGATGGGGATGGCCGCCAGGTTAACGAGCGCTGTCCTGCAGGACCGCGTCGTATAAAACCACAGGGACACGGGCTGGAGCCAGATCTGAGGCCAAAGCAACTGCAGGTCGGTGCTTGCAGCCGTTTTCCTGGCAAGTGTCCTTTGACTCTAATAAGTTTAATGATGTGGGGGAAGAAGTAGCATTTTTAGCCCTGTAGCTCCATTTACAAAGGTTTCGGCTGAAATGTCACAGCCATCCGTCCACACCACGGGAAACTTTGGAGGATGCTCAAGAGCTGCTAGGAGAAGGAGAGAGAGGTGGAGCTGATCTGAAACATGTACGCTTCCCTGTTGATCCCGACACCCAGCAACGTCTGCGCTACAGAAATATGATAATTTCCCCAGCCTTGCAGCAAACTGTCTCCTGCCGGTTTGTCTCAGCGCAGTGCCCGTCTCCGCAGCCGAGAGGCAGCCAGGACTTTGCATCTCTGCCTCCCGCGGCTGCAGGTTCCGGAGAGGCGGGTGCCCTCCTGCAGCCGGGGAGCAGCTCAGCCCCACGCAGGGCAGCCCCTGCCACATCTGTCCTCTGGGGCAGGCCGGCCTGCCGCCCCGCTGCAGCCGGCAGCAGGAACCAGAGCGTCTTCCTGGAGACGCTTTCCAGGCAGAGTTTGATCCTGACATTTGTTGCCAGTTAAGGGAATGCACTCGGGAAAAGAAAAAAAAAAAAAAAAGAGAAATGGAAAGTGTGTCACGCCATCACACAGCTCTCCCCTCGCCGTGCGCCGGGAGAAATGGCCGTACACAGGCAGCTCCTTCCATAATTTACAGCTGCTATAATAGAGATGACATATTGAAAGCTATCTTCTATAATTACACTGAAATACATTTTTTGCTGTAGGCAAAAGTACTGTAAGGGTCCCAGGCCTCCTGGAGCAGCTGGGAACCTGCTCCCTGAGTTCCCAGATGTCTTCTGAATTCACCCCAAATGGAGGTGAAGTGTGGCTGCGCGGAAGGCACCGCCAGCCCCACCGAGCGCTGGCTGCGGCTGTGCCCCTGAAGACTGTTTTGGGCCATTTCCTCTCTTTTTCCTGCGCTCATCTGAGGAGTCTTGATGAAGTATTAAGGCTAGCAGGAGTGTCCCTGCTCCTACAAGGTTTCTGAGCAGGTTAACAAGGCCATCACTTATAACCTGACATTATTAATAATGTCTTGGGCACCAAGCAGAGGCCTGAAAAATAGTACTGAAAAAGGGATCAAGTAGCTTGGACACTATAAATAAACAAGAGAAAACAAGACAAAGCATCAGAGTCTTCTGAGCTTACTTCCACTCTGCTGCACTGAAGTCGCTCTGCAGATGGGAGGTGCTGGTGAAGATGAGTTAAAACCAAACCCTCTCAGTAGATGTGTCCAAATGACGTCTCATGGAGCAACTCAGGTAAATTCAGGGAAAGATTTTTGCTTCTTGAAAGTAAGAAACTCACTTTAGCTTTGAAACATGGAATTTTGGCACTGTGTTCGTGGAGAAATATTTCTTATAGAAAAGACATATCTGAAAATATTTTTAATGCACCAGTTGCCGTTTTTATTGTACTTTAAAATTTAATTCCCCAGATCTGCAAACAAGGGGGCACGTGACAAGCTGTGTGCCTGAAATGTTCTTTCAGTGCCAAATACCTGGATTCAGCCGTATTGTCAGAGCCGCTCTCTTGTCTCAGGGAGGGAGTTGCTGCATTTCAGTGCCTACGTTACCTACCTCTGTGCATCGTTTACCGCATGAGCCAAAGCTGGTGCTTCTGCCGTGGGTCGGGTGGCTGAACCCAGGCTTTTCCGTGCTAAGGTTGTCCATGCAGCCCGGCAGATGACGTGCAGGAAGGACGCGGTCCCGCTGCAGCGAGGCCGGGGGGTGTCGCACTTCCCTGGGGGTCGGAGCCCGCTCCTGCGCAGGGTGGGCGAGCTGCTGTGCGGGCTCTGCCTCCACACAGGCCAAAGCTTTGGGGTGGGAGAAGGAGAAACGGGTCACCTGGGACAACTGGTCCTGGGTGAGAGGAGGGTGGCCAGAGCGCTCAGGAGACCGTGCCCGTCTCTTCGGCGTGGTGAGAGGGGACAGCGGGTGAAATGTCAAAACAGAAAGAAAGAAAGTATGCAAATGGAAAGTGAGGATGAGGAGTACCGGACTCCTTAACCTGGAGCTCAGAAGGTCTTGAGAAGGGCAGGGAGCAGCAGCTGGCGGGAGGAGCCGTTGCGTCCGCACCGGCATGGAGCGACGGTGAGCTGGTGCGGCCTCCGCGGCACCGTGACCTCGGCACCTGTGGCGGTGGCAGGTGAAGGGCGCCTGCGCCGAGGCTCACCCAGCCTCGCCGAGCCTTGCCAGAGCGCTGCCTCCAAACGGGTGCTGCAAGGATGTAAATTAGCCTGTAATTTACTTTCAGTAGTGTAAAGAAAAAAAAATCACTTTGCCTGAAGTGTATGCATCTTTCTTAAGGGTGTACCCAGATTTTAATTATCTAAATGTAAATACTTAACGAATTTTACTTAGAGTAATGAGCTAAAGTGCACACTACATAAATGAGATGTTCTAATTAATCATGTATGAACTACTGGTTTAAAGAAAAGCTATGTGAATTCTGCGAATGTTGGGCTATTGCCAAATTGCTAATCAGCATTTGCATTCATAGATGGCTTCACTTAATAAGTTGTGAGACGTTCAGCAAATGTTATA